AGCCTCCAGCGTACTAATGAAACTTCATGCTATTTAAACTTTGGATGCCACCTGTGGTTTCCCTGGTAACACTAGAAATATAAATATTAGCTTTGCTGTTTCCAGGGAATTAAAATTTTCATATGAAAAGGTGACAGTATCTGGGCTCTATTCTCAGTTTCTTGTCTAGCCCTGGGTGGAAAGACACCTGACTTCCAAGATACCCAAGGGGGTTTGGAGGGATTATCATCCTTTAATGAGGTAATATACGTTTCCTTCCCAGCAGCCCCCTCACAGGCACCTGCTTGCAGACAATTCCACCAGACAGTGCTTTGGAGCCTCTGCCCGTGCAGCCTGCCTGCTTTTCTGAGTTAGAATTGGACTGGACTTCCCCGGCCCACATGGTCCACTCATGACCAGGGGCTCACCTGAAGCAGTAGTAATACTCTGAACTACCAAGAGGCATGGGGTTTACACACACACACACACACACACACACACACACACACACACACACACACGGCTGGGCACCCGTTTCTTTTTCATTCTTTCATCTGGTTTATTTTCCTTTAATGGTATATGACTGTTGATTTAAATGGGTATTGTGGGGTTAGTGTATTTTCAGTAGTCGAACGGTTTAATAAGGGTTATTTTAATTAGTTACAGCTAGATTGTTCATAGGAAGGGTCCTATGGACATTTACCTTTCACAAACATCTCTACCCTTGTCCTCTTTGGAGAAAAAAAGTCTCAGACAGTGGATGCTTGGAGGTGTCCAGTATGTGAGTGAGGCAGGTAAAGTATGTCCTGCTGACCCCAGTTTATGTTCATCTGGTTGTATGCTCTCTGGGGCCCCTCCAGGTCCCCAGGATGGATGAACCTACTGACATCACCCACCAGTACTTAGAGATCAGTTTGTTTGCCTTGGTCTGGCCACATTAGAGCTCAAAGACATGTCTGAGTCCCAAGGGGCAAGCAAGATGCTTTTAAGGAGTGGGTACAGCCCCATGCCACCCAGCATTGCTAGACATCCAGGTAGATCATGATTGGTGATGTCTGAAAAGAGGTGGAGGTGGTGTGGGGGGGAGGCCTCTTGTCTGCATACTTCCTACTAGGAAGACTGATTTTCATTGTTGGCTGCAGAAAGCTTTCTTTTAAAGGTGATTTATTTATTTTTATTTTACGTGAAGGAGTGTTTTGCTTACATGTAGATCAGTGCGCCATTCGAGTGCCTGAAGAGACCAGAAAAGAGAGTTGGGTGCCTTGGGCCATCCCTTAACCCAGGCAAACTGGGACAGTTGCTCAGAAAATGTCAGGTGGGCACCTAGTTCCTGTTGGGGGCTTTTGTGTAGAAATTGCAGGGGGTAGGGGTGGAGAGTGGATGTCAAGACACTGATGGCTGAACCACGTCTGACTTGAGCCTCAGATAGCTCCCTACAGGTCCAAGTTCAGGAGTCTCTTCTCTCCCACTCCATCCCCAAATCAAGATGCCTCAGGGCTTCCGAGCTGGGCAGAATCTGCTCCTTCCCTCTTTCCTGGCACTTGCCAACAATCCCAGCAATCTCCTCTTTACAGCTGTGGACTTGGTCACCCTGAGTTCCTGTGTATGCCTATGTCCCTTTATTGGATTTGGGGCCCACTATAATCCAGTCCAGCCTCCACTCCTTTACATCGGCAAGGCTTTGCTTCCAAATAAGGTCATCTTCACAGGTGTGGGGCTACTTCTCAGGGGACACCCAGGGCCGGCTCCCACTGGCCTGAGTTGCTCCAAAGTGTCTCTGTGACTCTCCTCTGCTCCCAGTAGAGCCCACAGCCTGCTGCCCCCACCAGCTGCAGGTCATCTCAGGGGATTTAACCCTGCTTTAAAAATTCGTGGGTCATTCACACATAGAAATTACATGGTCTTGTTTCCTTCATGCCTTCAGGATGATGGCATCTAGGGTTACTGGAACGGGGTCTTTTTCTCTGCAGATTTAGACTAGAAGGCAGCAAAACCAAAATCTCCCGCCAGAAGTTACTGGAACTGAAAGCGCACGGGCAGGAAGGGGACCTAGAGTTGGTGTCCAGTCTGTTAGGAGCCCCAGGCAGATCATCCGGGACTTAGGCATTCTCTTTCTCCCCAGCAAGAGCTGCTTTGAGCTGTCGCAGAGGATTGGATGAGCCAGACAAAGACAGGGAAGCTGATTGGCTCCCGCCCCGGAGCTTCTAGTGGGAGATTTGAAAGGCGCCAGGAACAATGTCCTTTGTGGTGGAAAAACAGCCCACTAAGTCTTTGTCTTAGGGAGGAGGGAGGACCGGAAAGCCGGTCATCTTATATGTTTAAGCATAAAGTACATTAATCTACCTACAGCCTTCTCCCTGTCAGTTTGCAGGCAAGTGATCAGTCAGACTCCGTGCTTCCTCTCTTCTCTCCCTCTCTCTCCCTCTCCCCTCCTCCTCTCCCTGCTCGGTTCCCTCTCCTCCCCCCTCCCTCCTTTTCCACTCTTCTTCCCCTTCCCCCTCCCCCTCTGGCATTGTATGGAATTTAGGGCCTGGCTTGTAAGAACTCCACTACAGACCTTCCCTCCCAGCCCTGAAATTATGCATCTTTTACGTTCCTTCTTTATTTTTAAATTCCAGTAAATTGTACCACATTTTCATCTTAACCACTGTCAGGCTGTCACTCCGGTAGAATTATGCACATTTACACTGCCGTGCACTGCACACTAAACTATATATAATATATATAAAATTTTATTTTATATGCGTGAGTATTTTGCCTGCATGTGTGTATGTCTGTGCACCATGTGCATGCCTGCTGCCCTCAGAGGTCAGAAGAGGCTGTGGTATCTCATGGAACTAGAGTTACTATTGCTCCCACATATTCGAGGAAAAAGACCACTGACTTAAATCATGACCAGATTAATTAAAGTAAGTAATTAATTAAAGCAAGCTTTTAAATTCATGTACATTGACTGTCTCTCCCTAAAGGTGGGGATCAAGAGATCAGCACTGGGCATGGATGAGATAAAGGTTTTTATAGCTCAGGAGTAGGGGATTCCAAATGAAGCAGGCAAACAGGCAGGGTTACAGCGGTAAAACACAACTTGATCATAACAACCTCCTGAAACAAAGACACGGTTGCAATGTGGTCATAAAAAGGTGGTCATAGCAAGGTGGTCAGTGATCACAATAATCTTTTGAAACAAGGACGAGGTTGCCATTCCTGGAGTAGGCAGTGCAGAACCATTTGTAGTTAAGGTTACAGGTGGGGCACAGCCCAATCCTTGAGAAAGAGATTCAATCATAAACAAGAATAAAGCCAGGAATAAAAAAGTTTGGCTTTCAAGCCCAAGATGGAGGCAGGCTGCTTCCTCATTACAAATGTATGGGTGCTGGGAACTGGGTCCCCTGCGATATCTTCTGTCCCTGAAAAATGATTTTTTTTTTAAAGGAAAAAGTTCTAGAAATGGTTGGTCAGGGATCTAGAGATGGCTCAGTGGTTAAGGGCACTTGCTGTTTGTGCAGAGAGGACTGGAATTAGTTCCTAACATCCACATGGCAGTTTACAACCATCCACAACTCCAGTTCCAGGCTATCTGATACTTTTTTTCTGGCCTCTATAAGTACTAGGTACATATGTGGTATACATATGTACATATACAAAACATTCACATACATAAAAATAAATACATAAATCTTTTCAAAAATCAGTGCTGGGGACCAAACCCATTCTAGAACTTTTTCACTTGGCAAACTGAAGCTTGGTGCTGATCATGACAGACTAATCCCCTTCCCTAGGAGTTCCCATCCAAACTGTCTGTCTCTATGATTCCACTCAGGGACCTCTGCCCATTGGTGACCAATATGTTTCCATAAGCATGAAGCCCTCAAGATTGCATCTGATAATGTATACATGTGTTTTCTTTATGTTTTAATGTCTAATAGGAAGGTGACCTGGGTCTAGTGGCCTCTGTCACCTAGAACACAGAATCATCACAATGGTGGAAACTAACAGCCTGAAGGTACAGACCCAGAGTCCAGCATGAACCTTTTCCTTGGGCACAGACACCAGCCCTGTGGGATCATTGTTTTGTTTTGTTTTTTTATGTTTCTCATTGTCTTGCTCAGGCAGCCTCTGATGACCTGTCAGGAACCCTGGAGGCCCTCTGGAAATGATCAGCGTGTGAAAACACATCCAACAATGGGATTTGATTCAATCCATGGAGGGCCCTGAATATGTCTCCTGAGGAACCTCTGATGTGCCCCTTCCCACACCAATGCACAAGACCAAGGTTTATTACTCTCATTTGATAGAGGTCATCATGGCCCAGAAAGGTTAATTAATTTCAGGAGGGTCACTGCACAGGGCTGAGATGAATCATCCTGCCCCCATCTGGGATGGAGAGATGGGAGGCCCCATTCAGGTGTGGTGTAGATCACCCCCTCCCCCAGCTTGTCAACTGGTCCTAGGAGGGTGGGGGCTGTGGGAAGGGCTGAGCCACAGGAAGGGCTGCTAGTAGTGTTTGGAGGTCTTCTGAGGCCTATTCTTTAGAGTCTTAATCACTGTTTTCCCAATTTGCATCATTGGATATACTCTGTCTGTCCTGGAAGAGAAATTCCCTCTTGGTCCATGGGGCCTGGGTTTGAGAAACAGACTACCCCAGGGGCCATTCCAAATGTCAAGGCTGTACTGGTTCACCTTCCAACCAGAGAGCTGTGAAGAAAGAAGTTGGGGGATGCTCTGATGGTGTCAACAAACACCTTTGTCATCCACTCCAGTGATGGTAAGGTGTCCTGTCCCTGATTCCTCTAGGTTGACACATTCCCTCCAGGAAGACAGAAGGAGGAGGAAGCTAATGCAACTCACAAGGCTCAGGGATGAAATGCCCCTCCCTGAGGTTGTAAAAGTCCTGAAAACTGCTGGAGAAAGGAGACTCCCTGCAGGTTGAGCAGGGACGGCAGGGTGCAGCTTTGAAGGTGGTCACCCATGCTGGGGTGGGCGGGCTTGTAATGATGCGGCTCTGTGAGTAATCCCTATAAACTTACTGTCTCACCCCGCTGGATGTGGGTGGGTGGGATCCTTGCCTTGCTTGCGTCTGTTCTCAGTGCCCAATGAGGGGGAGGGTGGATGTTTGTTCTCCTCTCTACAGGAAATGATCTACACAGAAGATGTAGCAAACAGCCTGTGAGTGACAGGTTTACAGTCCCCTCTCATAGTTCCCCACACCTTAACTTCAGTATCATTTACTATTTCTTACAAAACCCATTATCAGCTTTCAAAACGCTATCACTAGCAACAGAGTCCCATTATCCAACTATGAAGGAATGTTTGATTGATATCCAATTCAGCAAAGAATCGGGGCTCCCTCATTGACAAACAATTATAGCTAAATGTGGGTTGATATTTTCATTTATGTCAGCCAGCAAGATGAAAGTAAAATAACAAAGACATGTCAAAACTTGGCTCCCTTGCCAGATAACAGGAGGAACTCCCTTGCTGAACTAGATAATAGTTTCTGAATCCTGGAAGAATATTTTTCCCTCATTATTCACATGCTAGCAGCTATAGATGAGTATTTAACGTTAATCTGCATGATTAACATTTTCATTAGTCTAGACAATCAACAAAACAATAGATGGAGGACTGATTTCCCACTGTAAATATTCCCACTGTGGCTAACTTCACACTATTCCAGAAGACAGAGTGAGGGCTGACTGCTCTCCCAGGATTCCAGGGAACCCACAGACAAGCAATAATGACACAATTAAATAACTGAAGTGGGGAGGCTCTTGAGCAATCCTTTGCATGGGTTTTGTCGTTGCCTTAACTTTCTCTGGGAAGATGTGAATAAATGTCCACCTACCCAAGACAGGGCACTGACCACAGGACAAAATAAGGACCTCACTCAGGTCCAGCTTGGGGGTTACTCACAGGCAGCTGTGTGATCGAAAGGCCAATCCCAGCACAGGCAACTACACACAGTGGCTTCATCCTTTGAGCTCAACCTGTAATCGACTCCACAGAAGTTCCACTTGGTGAATGATCAGTTTATTTGGTTTATTACAGGGGTGTAGGTAAAGGGGTCACTTACAGGAGTAAGGGCAACCCCCCCCCCCAAACAGCTGCATCCCTGCAGTCCCAACTAATGGTGATGACAAACTCACGGGAGCTGCATCATGGGCTCTCACCTTCAGGTAACCTTCTATCTACTTCCTATTCTCCATCATCTCCTGGGGCACGTGCAGCTGGGGGTGTGGCAAGAATTAGTGATGGCCAGAATCCCAGATGAGGGTCCCAGGGGCCTCCTCCCAACTCCATCCACAATGGAGTATTAATATTCCCATGGCCGTCACCATGGACCACAGACTTGTTGCCACTGTGTGGTTCTGCTCTGGCATTACTATTGGCCAAGGTTATTTCTAGTCTAAGATGGTGATGGGATGATCAGATTATGCTGGGGAAAAAGCAAACACATCACAACATCTTACACTATCCCGATGCCATTAGAAACACAGCTGCTGCTTCAGATGGTGATAAAAGTAGTTTATTCTCAAGCCAAATATGAGTGACTGTGGCCCGGGAACACAGATCCAGTTGCCCCAAATTCCATGTTCAGGCATGGTAATAGTTTCATGAAGCTGTCTTTAAAAAAAAAAAAAAAAAAGAGAGAGAGAGATATTGATTGATTGATTATGTATACAGTGTTCTGCCTGCATGCCTGCATACCAAAAGAGGCACTAGATCTCGTTATAGATGGTTGTGAGTCACCATGTGGTTGCTGAGACTTGAACTCAGGACCTCTGGAAGAGCAGTCAGTGCTCCTAACCGCTGAGCCATCTCTCCAGCCCAGTTTCATGACGTTTTACAGTAAAAGAACAAAGAAGTCATAAATCAAGACATAGAAAGAAAAGCAGTCGTGGAAAGTCAGGTGGGCGGTCCAGCAGGGCGGGAGACTCGACTGCAGCCTCGCTCGCTTGTAGTGACATCTCAGTCTTTTGGTTAGTGGAAGCGAGTGGTCTATTAAGACGTTTCAAAATGTCTCACCTGTCAGAAGGGAGTTACACTCTTTCCTTGGTCTGAAACATCTGTTAATCCTGGGGCCTGGTTTCCCTGGTAGGATTTCAATACACTCATAGGCCCTGCAGTCTCAGTTCACCCTGATTAATTTAAACGGTTGTGGTGGTATTGTGTTCCCCAAAATATTGTGTACCCTAATAAACTTATCTGGGCTCAGAGAACAGAAAAGCCACTAGGTACTTAGGATAGGCAGTGGTAGCACACGCCTTTAATCCTAGCATTCCAGAGGCAGAAATCCATGTGTTCAAGGATACAGCCAGGCATGGTGACTCACGCCTCTAATCCCAGAAAGCAAGCCTTTAATCCCAGAAAGTGAGACTTTAATCCCAGGGAGTGGTGGTAGAAAGCAGAAAAGTATATAAGGCGTGAGGACCAGAAACTAGAAGAATTTGGCTGGTTAAGCTTTTAGGTTTTGAGCAGCACATTTTAGCTGAGAGCCATTGGGATGAGGACACAGAGGCTTCCAGTTTGAGGAAACAGGATCAGCTGAGAAGTTGGCCAGGTGAGGTTAGCTGTGGCTTGTTCTGGTTCTCTGATCTTCCAGTTCACCCCAATACCTGGCTCCAGGTTTGTTTTATTAATAAAGACTATTTAAGATCCCTGCTACAAACAGTGGTACCCATTCTGCTCCCAGAAGTCACTTACCAGTCCTAGCTGGGTGTGCAGTGCCACCCAGGTGTCGGGTTTACACATCCACCCGAGTACGGTCATTCTCTCACCTCAAAATGGACTTCTTAAAAAATGGAGTCTCTCAGGGCAAGGCACAGCCCGAAAACTCACTCTTTTACACACAAGGGAGTGACCGAGAGTAGAACCCAGCCTGCTCACAACAGTACACGCGGGGACGTTAGTCAGCCTTCTAAAGAAAGGGGATTCTGACATGCACTACCTCCTGAATGAGCCTTGAAGACCGCATAGTGAAGTCAGCTGTCATAAAAGCACTCGGCCATAAACTCAGTCAGTCTCATGGAGTCAGAGGCAAAGGTTGCTCCCTATGTAGAAACCATCTCCTTGGTGCAGAGTTCCAGCTGTGGAAGATGAGAACCTTCTGGAAACGGCCGATGACAGAGGTACAGCAGTGTAGAGACTGAATTGTACTTAAACACAGCTTATGCTGTGGTGTTCACCTTGTGTGTATTTTACCACAGTGAGAAAAGTTAAATACAAAGCAATAAATAGATGGGTGGACACCTGAGCAGCAGAAGGAAAGGAAAGGGTCAACTTCCCGAAGCCACAATAACATTGGTAAACCTTTAGCAAGACACTCAGGAAAAAGAGACGTGGCTGGGAGGTGGTTCAATGAGCTTGGCACACAAGCCTGGGGACATGAGTGCCACTCCCAGCACCCATGGGAAAAGCCAGGCTTGGCCACATGTGCATGTAATTTCAATACTGGGGAGACAAAAAAAGGAGGATCCCCAGGGTTCAGTGGCCAGGCAGTCTAACCCCAGGCACCAATGAGAGACCCTGTCTCAAAAAATAAGGTGGAAAGCAACCGAGGAAGACATCCATACCATCCTTTGGGTTTACAGACACGTGCACACACATGTATATATATATATATCTGTATGCAAGTGCACACACACACACACACACACACACACACACACACACACACAGAGGGTAAATAAAAGCGAAAGGAGACAGGTAGATGACTGGCCTTAAAGTGAGAAGACATGTCTCACAGGTGCAGTAGACACTGAAGGGATATCAATGAAAGGATAACACCTTTCTGTCAATAAATTTACAAATTAGATGAAATGTACAAGTTCATTGCAAGACAATCAGTGCAAAATCAATTTAAAAGAAAGTAGAATTCAACAGCTCCATGTCAGCTGAGAAATCGAATTCACAGTTTAAAACAAACAAACACCACTTGGTGCTGAGAACTTTCAAAGACTCAGAAAGACACAGACTGGTGGTTCTGTTTACTTGAGAGTAAAGAAAACACAAGGCGGGCCAAGGGGCATGGTGCTTAGCTGGCACCCAGGGCCATGGACTCAAGTCGCGTGCCACACACAAAGAAATGCAGGCTTCTTGTATCAGTACCCGATAGAACCAGGATAGGGAAGGCAGGGTCAGTTTTGTTTTGTGGTTTGTGAGGGTACAGCCCTCCACAGAGGGAAAGAAATGGCAGAACGCAGGGCATGGGAATGTGTCTGGGGACCCCCAGAACTCAGGAGAGCAGGAAGCAGAGACCAAGAATGCAGGCAAAAGTGGCTGTCTTTCCCTTTCCAGTGCATGCAAATGTGCATGTGTGTGTGTATGTGCGTGTGTATGTGTGTGTGTGTGTGTGTGTGTGTGTGTGTGTGTGTGTGTGTGTGTGTGTGTGTGTGTAGACAAGAGATTAATATTAGGTGTCTTCCTCAATCACTCTACTTTTTGAGATGGTTTCCCACTGAACCTGTATTGCCGAGGCTGCCAAGACCCAGGAGTCCTCCTATCACTGAGATCACAGGCCCGTGCTATCACACCTGGATTTTTTTTACATGGCTTCTGGGTAATCTAACTCAGCTCCTCACGGGTGTTCAGCCAGCACTTTACCAACTGAGCCGTCTCCTAGGCCCATTTCCCCCTTTTTATTCAAGACTACCACTCAAGGGTCATGCCAATCACATGCATGTGGGTCTTCCTGCCTCAGCAAAAACCTCCCTGGAAACATTCTCACAGAATGTCCAGACACATGCTTCCTAGTGTGTAGCTGGAGAGAGTACACACTCAGAGATGGAGTGTGCCATTGAAAACCTGAAGTCCCAGAGCCTGACACTCACTGCCTGTCTACAGGATGTTACAAACAGAAAATTCCACACCTGACTTCCTGCGACTGGTGCACTCAAAACTGTAGAAATCACCTCCCAGCTCCATGGGTAAGGTATGTGCAGGGTGGGGGGAGTGAAATTTGTATTTAGACTCAGGTCTTAGCCCCAGGATGTCCCATTAGGTGGATACAAAGCTTCAAAGATTCTGATCTGAGATAGCTGAGTCTGAGCATTTTGAATTAGGGACCTGCAAACTTAACCCTGGAGGGGGAATAGAAGGAAGCCAGAAGCAGCTCTGCAAGGTACTTAATAAGAAAAGACAGAGATTAGTTCATGAGTGGGGAGAGAAGGGTTACCCAGAGCTCTGGCTGCTTTGAATGGGAAGTCAAGTTTTCCTGTATTTCAACACTCAGACCCCAGAGACCTGAACTACTGTGGTCTGACCATCCCTGGCAAAGCCACCTTGGAGCCAGGTTCACTTTGGGGAGCCTATGTGGAATATGCTTTGGAATGTCAACATTTAAGCTAAGTAGGGGTTCATGGGGTGAGGATCTTAGTTTTATTATTTGGATGGTTGAACAGACTAGGATTTGGGCTCCTACATACTTGAGGTTTATGAGAGATCAGATCTAGAATGCAAGGACAGATGAGAAGTGTGAGGTAGATTTATCTGTTTCTCCCCTGTGATCTTGTGGCTGGATAGAAGGAAGCCTCCTGTGGAGCCTGATCTAGCTTGGAGAAAACAATGTGATTGATTGGTGATGTCTGCCTGGGCAATGAGAGGGAGTATGGAGCAGGCTCGGGAGAGGGTCATTGCAAAGGCATGGACAAGGGACCACTTGCTGACCTAAAGGTAATGGAAGGTGTGGGGCTGTAACAGAGCAAGAAAACAGCTGGAAACAGCCGCTCAACTTGTCAAACTCAGGAGAGGGAGAAAGGAGGAAGAAAAGGCTGTGTTAACAATAAAGCAAAACCAGGAATGTCATATACCTAAGGGATTGTTGATCTAGAAGGGCTAGAGAGTCCCAGGTGGCTTCTGGGAGACAGGAGCCCCAAGGCCTGAAATAAGAGATGAAAACAGGGGGTACATGGAACTAGGAAGAGAATGCCCAGTCTCCCTTTCTCTTTCTTTTGCTTTGTCCACTATGACATAATCCTCATGGCCATGTAAGAGCCACACCTCTGGACCTGTCTATGAGGAGACTTCTAAAGGTTTAATTGAACATGCACAGTACCCTTCCATGGTTGGGGTCCTGGACTGAATGAGAGGAGAAGGCAAACAGAGCACCAGCGTTCATCTCTCCCTGCATCCTGATGTGGACGTGATGTGCCAGAGGCCTCAGGCTCCTGCTTCCTCAACTTCCCCATCTGGATGAGACTTCACCCTAAACCAAGAGTCAAAACAAACAAAGAAACACAAACAAATGGGAAAAAAACCTTCCTTCTTTAAGTGGCTTTTTGTCACAGCCAGGTAACTAATGCCTATTATGAAGCAAAAGAAATTCTCTTGGATCTTTCTAGAATCCTGGGAACTTGATCTTTCACTTCCTAATATGTCTAATTAACAATAAAAGAAATTTTCTGTTTTCAAGCCAGAAGATGGCTCAGGCACGTCCCAGGGCTTCACAAAGAACCGTATCCTCCACTCAGAGAGACCTGGGCTTGAAGCCCCGAGTAAGGACCACTCAGCTCTGGCCTGGAGCAAAGGCCTCGAGGGTGTGTCCAGGACCCGGCCTCCCTCCAGGGACAGCTGTGGTCCCCTTGCTAGGATCTCCTTTACATCTTTCCCCTCAACATCTCTATCCTGGCGCTCTTCCTGTGCCATTGCGCACCGGAGCCGCTGTCGCTGAGGGCAGCTGAGAACACACACCTGACAATGGTGGCCTGATTGGAATTAGCTCCATTAGAAGCCCCATTGTGTGCCAGGCTCTGCGCAAAACGTTCCACACCCCAGCCCCTCCCACACTCACTCTGATGTGACAGGCAACACAAAGGCTCCCAGAGTTCTGTTTCGAGAGGGTCACAGCTGGCCGAGCTGCACAACTCCCTTGGAAGAATTCACACTCTAAAATTTCCACTTAGACACCCCCAGCCTCCGCCCTGCTGCAGGGCCAAGGCTAGAACGTTTGCCACTCAGCCCTGCTTCTTATCCCATTTCCTTGCTCCCTGAATACATTCGGGCCCTTTGGGACCCTCCTCATGTCCTTTGTACCAAAGTCTAGTCCTGGAGATTCAGGTGGGCTTCCTCTACTGACAGACCTGTAAGTAGCCCTAGGCCAGTCTGCCCCAGCACATCCCTCAAGGCTCCCGAGTCGATTCACCACTTGGCCACCAGGGGGAGCCATTTAAAGACAATAGGTAGCATCTTCTCTATGCTAACATCCTCAGGGATTCTGAAACTGTGGAAGGACCTGCTCCTCCATCCCTCTTCCCAGAAAATATTTTTTTTAAAGATCATTTCTAATTATCCTAAAGACGTACACTCCAGCAAATAAAGAAGCAATCATTGTGGACTGTTTTCTAAGTGTGGGCATGAATAGAGAGCTGGTGGCATTTGAACCACAGAACACATCTCACTCTCCCCAGCTCAAGGTTCCCCCATGTCACACCATTTTACATGCTCTGCAACAGGAAGATGTAGTCTGGTGAAAGGGCATTCTCCCCCACCAGCTCCTAGTGGCACCTGCAATTTCTCCTAGAGAGGAGCAGGGTGTTGGGGGCAATGTTGTTCTAGGAAAGCTGGACGGAGGAGTTACCCACCCTCCATCCTATTCACACCCATACACACACTCACAGATGCACGCATAGCATCCATCCCTGAACAAGCTCTAGATCTGAACACTGACAGGCGGGGCCGGACCGTCCCTCTAGCCCTCCTTATGTCCCTTTAGTTTTCCTTCTGTCTGTCCCACACTAATCCTGGGAGTAGGACATTCAGCAGCCCCGAGACCACCATAATGTCTGCAGAGGAAAGATAGCACACACCCTACATTAATTATTCCTGCCCCTGTGACGGCAAAGATGGGAGGTATTTTATTTACTTATTTTCTTGTTTTGATTTGTTTTTACTACAAAAAGCAAAGGAGCAAAATCCTCTGTTGGACTCAGTGAAGCCATGCTATTGCCATGCCCCTCAGAAGCAAGGAGAGAGAAGATGGATGGGATCGGGAAGGCAGACACCAAAAGGCCATGTCAGACACAGGTGTCCTGCCAGGGCCTCTGCATCCCAGCTTGGTGGTCATCATGGAGAATCCACTCGGCCAAGTTTTACTTTGCTGCATGAGGGTTGGAGTGGGTAGCTGGCCACTGAGCCCTATGCATATATTGTCTCATAAGGCCTAAGGTATGTGTAGCTGTCTAGAGAACCGCAGAGGTTACAATAGGGAAAGCTGCTGGTGCCCCATCCTTCCCAGGAGCCCTTAACAGCAGGGGGACATTCTTAAACTGGGTAAGGAGGCAGAAGAGAAGTTATGGAGGCTGAACGCCTAAGACCTGGTCACCTTTGTTGAAGGGACTTCACAGGAAGACCATAATAGTGTCAGAGGGAAAGGCCGGCCTCACAGATGGCAAAGACTGGGGCCTTGATCTAGACAAGGAACTGATCATGGCCCCTGGCAGCTGGAGAAGAGAGGTAGAGCCTGCCCCCCTTCCAGGCCCTTGGAAGGGGCTTAACCCTGTGGACACCTAGATTTCAGCCAAGGCCTTGGAGGGACCTTCATGATAAACTGAGATGCTAAGCTTGTTGTTCTCAGTGGCTATACGTGTGACAGAAGGTGAGTATAAGGTTATGTCACATTATAAAAGAGGAAATACAGATTAAAAATACTAAAAAACAAAAAAATCCACCCAAACCATAAACAGAGTCAAGGAGGGGTTCCTGATTACCCCCACGCTCACCTGGGCTCACTCAGGCCTGTGAAGCAGAGTTCTGGAGAGGTCATTGAGAGACCTGTTACATACCGTGCTGATGACCTTGATTAAAGGTCAGATGGATGGAGTCACGTCTACGCATCCATGAGTCTCTGTTTCTCGTCAGTGTTGGGTGGAACCGCACCTCTGGCTATAATCACTCTTTCTGTTTTCCTAACAACAGCACATCGCTTCCAGTCACTCCCGGTGAAGGCTATGAGTGTTGTTCATGGGATCACCTGGAGAGGTGAAAATTTAGATTGAGGCTACAGAATGGCACAGGCACCCTGCCACTCACTTAAGACCTTCCTCTGATCCCAGGAGGGCCCATGACCAAGATGACAGCAAGACCATGGCCTGCTAGGTCTATGTCCCATTCACCAGGAAGACCATAGCCTGCTAGGTCTATGTTCCCATTCATCAGGAAGACCATCGCCTGCTAGGTCTATGCTCCCATTTATCAGGAAGACCATCGCCTACTAGATCTATGCTCCCATTCATCAGGACTGAGTCCCCCAGCTCTTTGGGGGAACCTTCTTTTCAGATGCGTATCTTAGGGTACAAGCCAGGCCCCATGGGAACTTGTTCCTCATCAAGTACTGTAAAGCCAGCCAACCCAGGTCAACAATGGCAGCTTTTAAGATTCTTAACTTCATTTAAGGGGGGAAAAAGATTTTTGTTGTTGTTGATTTAAAAAACACAGTGGAAGGCAGCTGTCATTAGCCGGCACCAGATGTGCAAGTCTCAGGACACTTCTTGTCCCTGGCAAGGTCATCCCGCGCTCCTCTCCCCTGTCCCCCATGAGCGAGAAATGCTGCAGCCAAAAGGGGCTGGCTTAGACTGCCCTGGAGGAGAGTCATGGGCTCCAGCGTGTGAGCATCTGCCCTGTTGAGGCTGCTTTGTGTCCCTGGGCCTGATAGGGCCATCAGCCACCATCTCATCTGGCCATGTCACAAATATGTCCTTACTCTCCCCCACTCCAGCTGGTGTAAGGAACCCAGGGGCCTAGTGTGGTCCCAGCCCCTACCCCCCCCCACCCCACCGTGCCTTCCCAGCTGCAAGGCCTAAGGCTCAAGGTGACGTTGGCTCTTGGGATTTTCTTTCTGAGTTCTCCCGTGGGTGTTGTCTGACTCAAAGCTTGAGCTTATTTTTCTGAGGTCTCAGAAGGTGACCCCTCTCCTGCCTTCTGGAATTTACCACTATGCTAGGCTATCTGTGAATTGTTTTTCAAACTTGACTGTGTGTGCAATTCAACATTTAGATACTGTCTAGATATTTGTGATCAAAGAATCAACATTAGCATTTTAACAATGCTAATCACAACACAGGTCTTATCTGTAAGGTTTCCCCTGGTGTCACGGTTAATTCTAATTGTCAACTTGGCAGGATCTGGAATCACATAGCCAGTGCATGGCTACTGCAAGCCCGTACCTCACTCCCGTCTTGTGGATGATCTGTGCACACAGCTGCTTGAGTGACCTCCCAACATGGCTTCAGGCATGGCTACTGCTGAGTCACGTACCTCACTCCCGTCTTGTGGATGATCTGTGCACACAGCTGCTTGAGTGACCTCCCAACATGGCTCCAGGCTTTCTCCAGTATGCGGAGAACTGACCTTGCCAAAAGCCTCACTGTTCTGTCCCAGCTGTTTTGATTTGAAGTGGAGGCTTGGGGTCTGACCTCAGCACCCTGAAATCCCAGTGTTTTCCTGGGAGTCTATTTCTATTTATTCAAGTGAGATGACAAGGAACAACAGAGGAGAAGACCCGCTCACTAGAGGAGTTCCCTTCCCTGTGTCTGTGTGTTCTTGTGAGGGTGTGACAGAGAAAAAGAGAGAGAGAGACTTACACAGCCTAGGCTAGCCTTGAACTCACCGAGCAGTTAACAGGTGTGTGCACACCCAGCATGCCCAGCTCACATCTTTCCTCCTCTTTCCACCCCTCTTGCAGTACTGGGGATTGAACTTGGGGCCTGCATGCATGCTAGGTAAGTGTTCTACCACTGAGCCGTACCCGAGCTCCCTCCCATCAATTGTTAGCTGCTTATCCATCATGAGGCCCAGTGTGCCTCATGAGCCCTCCCACCTTCTACAAGGGAAAGTTAATAAGGCCTAATCTTCAGGAGTCACATTTGAGTAATCATGGCTGCTCTGATGTTAATGGACATGCCCAACCCAGAGAAAACAGCCACATGACACTTGGCTCTGCTACTCCTCGCTGTGGGACCCTGGAGAAGCCTTCTGCCTCCTCTGACCTCAGTTTCCTTATCTGTGAAATGGGCATGATAACTGACCCAATGCAAAAAAAGCTAATGTGAGCATTGAAGGACCTGAGGAAAGAGGCTGGATGTGAGCAGATGCTTCCTAAACATGTGATGGCTCACTTGCTGGCCACGCGGGGACAGAGGGGAGCCTGCCCACAGGGCTGCCACCTGGCCAAAGCCTAGGTTTAAAATGCTGCTCTTCTACTTCTAGCTTTTTGCCTCAGTTTCTGAATCTGCAACATGGGCACTATACTCACTCCTCCTGGCATGAAGTTGAGGGACAGTGATGCACCACTTCCCAGCTAGAGGCAGTCTGGACACCGGTTTTCAGGCTGAGGGCACGGGGAGCATTGTAGAGCTTGGCCAGCTGGGCGAGAGGCAAGTGGGGGCCGCCAGCAGTTACTCCTGTTGGCGTCTCTCTTGCCTTTTGGGTTCTGCGTGGTGTAGCAGAGCGTGACTCACTCCTGTTTTCATTCACAAGTTCAGGCACCCACTTTAAATAGACTCCATTTGGGATCTACCCCAGGATAATTACTTAATGTGCCATTTAATCGGAGATCTAATTAACGCAGGCGTTCTCTGACAGCCATCATGGGGCGCAGAGAGCGCAGGTAGGCGCCAGGCTGTCACCTGGAGATGTCTGAGGCCTGGGAGCAATCCTGGAGTAGCAGAGAAAGGCTACAGAGCATCCACACCCTCGCCCTGCTGTGCCAGCTTCCACAGAGCCGGGGAGTGAACACAGGAATGAGAAGTGCAGGTTCCGGAGGCCTGACCCCTGCCGCTGACCGGGGAGGGCAGTGAACTGCGGCGGTGGGGACCCCCCCCACCCCACCACCCCCCCCCCCGGCTGGGCTGAGTCCCTTCTCTGTGCAATGGCAATGGGAGAGGGGCTATAAAGAGATCTGTAGAGCCCAGTGGATGATTATTGGGTCACACTAGGGGTGACCGGCCAAACAGGGCTCCTCACAACACAAAGGACATGTCCTGTGAGTAGCTGAAACATTGCTTTCTCCAACTCCACCAACTCTCACACCATTACTCCACCTACCACGGGGCCACAGAACTCCAGTGTCCACTTTACTGTCCTATCCAGTCACACCAGAGGGACTCAGTAAAGGTCCTGATGGCCCCAGGAAGAACAGCTATCTCTTTCTTCAGTCAACCCCACATCCCCACACACCAAAAACCAATGAAGGAGCCAATTCCAGGAGAGCCTGGCTTTCTAGAATTTTCCAAAGCAAACACCACCCAAATGTCCAAGGTAATGGGGTAATCACCCTGGGGTCCAGTCACAGCTCCCAGAACCGCAGAGTGCAAAACCAAGATTACGTAAGTAAGCACTGTCTGGGGGAAGAGCTGGGCATTTAAGGAAAGGGAGTCCTCAAGCCAAAAAGGAAGCCAAGGGTCAACCTCTGCTATGGTACTTCTGACTCCTCCATCCAACATTCCCAAGGGATGGCAGGAGGGACCAGACACTATGACCCACAAGAACAAGGGACCCAAGGCCGCTCTCTGAACAGCCCTTCTCTAAGTAGGGCCACTTACTGTTTATTTTAGATTTAGTAGCCCTGAAGACACAGAGAATGTTCTAGAGGCAATTCGTCTGTCTGGCCCCAGAGGGTGCTATTGTCTCACAAATGAAATGCCTTCCCTTTGCAGAGCAAAGGCGCCTAGAATTTTCCATGCAGACAGATCTTCCAGGGCTCTGTGATTGGTCCCCATTTCCCCAGAGGAAGTCTTTCCAAACCCTGTAGCTGGAGCAAAGAGCAGGACCTGTCAGAGCTGGGACACTGGTGATCATCACTGTGTCTACAGTCTGTTGCAATGTGTTGGAGCGTGTCACCACATGCCACTGTGCTCTATGAGCTACATACCTTTCCTCTGACATTCTCTGCTGTGTGAGTGGACATACTGCCCCTAGGCTGTAGGGCCTTATAGCAGCTGGACACTTGCATAGGGTCACAGTGTCTAGGGAGCAACAGGGCCTGGGTCTGCATGGCGCCCTTGCGTCATTTGAGGACTTTGTGACCCTAAATCTCAGCTGGCCCCTCTTGTGTTCAGGAGAACACACGTCTGTAATTTCCGGTTCCTTCTGGCCCTGCTACAGGGGCTCTCGGGCCTCTGAGCTCCCTTGGAGGTATCTGGCAGCCAGCGGTCCCTTGGAGAAGATTCTGTTCAACAATCAGCTCTGGCCAGATGTTCTTGGTTTTTGAGCCATATTTTTTATGAACCAAGAAGGACCCTTTCCCTCATTTTCAAGGAAGGGAAGAACTCACATGAGTTGGAAAATTGGACTTAGATGGTCTCTTTTACACTGTAATGTGCAGAGGAGGCCAAGGTTGGGGCCCCTCTTCAGCTTCAGCTGAGCCAGCAATATTGAAGGCCAAAAGTCAGGCAGGGGATACAGGATTGAAGAGGAATGTTTTCTTCTCGCATCTGTGCACAGAGGAAGAGGGAAGAGGAGAGGGAGAAAGGAGAGGAAGACCTGGGAGATGGACAAGCAGCCATTAGCACCAACCTCCCCTGTCTCCCTTATAACAAATCACATACCAAGCCAATGCTCATGATGTGGACTTTTCTTTCCATGAAGATCGTCCTGGTAATCTGGCCTATTTCTTGAAGGTCACTGATTTTTGTAAATAAGTCTATGAGGGTCGTTTGAGTGAAGGAGAAGAAGAAGACAAAAGGGGTGTTAGGCTGGGGAAATGGCTGAGAGGTTAAGAGTGCTTGTACAAGCATGGTAACCTGAGTTGGAACTGCCAGTATACGCATAAAACCTGGGCAGGGCCCCATGCAGCTGTAATTCCAGTGTTGGGAGGCAGGGATGCAGAGACAGAGGGATTATAAGACCCTGTGTCCAGTCAGCTTAGCTGGAAGAACAGCCAGCTTCAGGTTCAGTGAGAGACCTATGCCAATGGAAAAAGGTGAAAAGTGATAAAAGAGCACATTGTACTTCCTCCTCTGGCCACCACATACATGCACATGGGTGTGCAGACACACACACACACACACACACACACACACCACACAAAAATAGGATGTAAAGAAGAACATTATTAGGCCAAATGTGCTAATTGGACAGACACCAACCATAATGAACTGGGCATGCTGGGATCTCAGGAGGCGGAAAATGATCCACAGGATGAAGAGTGTCGAATTCACCTGGTGGCTAACCACTAGTGCTCATTCAACACAAAACATGACCGGGTTCCAGGAAGCCCATGACCAGCATCCCAGGGCCTGAGAAGACAAAATGGCAGCAGAGACCTTTTCAACATGGTAAGCATTCGAAGCTTCTCGAGGGCCCTGCCTAGCATGCTCCAGTGAGGCAAAGATTGCCCTGCATACCTTTCCCAACCTTCTGCAGCTTTTCTTGGTGGCTCCTCTTACGGTTGCTGAGAGCTCATCAGCTAGGGAAAGGTACACAAGTGGTCCCTCCCTATTCCTCCCTGCTGACCCCGCCTCCAGCCCCAACAAGGGCTGCCTGGGACTTCTTCATGCTGAGCCACACATGTTAAGAATGGTTACTCTTCTAGGTCAGCTTGGAACCCTCTACTATATAAACAGTTTCCTCCTAATTTTTATTTCTGGTGGGGGAGACGGGGTGGGGGTCTGTCAAACACAGCTGAACACTGTGATGATTTGAATGAGGATGGGCCCCATAGGCTCATAAGGAGCGGCCTTATTGGAGGAAGTGTGTCACAGGGGGATGGGCTTTGAAGTTTCAGAAGCTCAAGCCAGGCCCAGTGTCACTCTCTCTTCCTGCTGCCTTTGGATCCAGATTTAGAACTCTCAGCTACTTCTCCAGCACCATGTCTGCCCTCAAACCTCCATGTTTCCCACCACGACAAGAATGGACTAAGCCTCGAACCTGTAAGTGATGAAATATTTTCCTTTATAAGGGTTTCCATGGTCATGGTAACTATTTATGGCAATAATACCCTGAGACAAGCATGTAGGAATATTAACCCAATGGTTCACAACTATGCTGATTCTGAAACATCCAGAGGCAGTTTGGGTCTTTGCAGTGGGAAGTGCATAGGGGTACGCCTGACGCGTAGCAGGTGAATGCCGTGCGTGGTGACACATCCTCCAGTGGTGAAGACAGCCTGCCATGTTGAAATGGCAAGGACACCAGAGACAAGGCCCTATGCTGGGCTGACTTTAGTGCCAGTACTCTGTCTTTGGCTGTTGCAAACATTACCACAACACTCAAGTTTGTTCAGAGGCTGGCAAGGGGGGGCATCACTAGGCATCCATGTCATTGGTGCTACCTGGAAGCGAGAAGAAACAGGGCATACATCCCATTCATCCGGTGCCTGTGCGGGGTGACACCAAAGTCCAACCCCCAGGCCCACCAGGTGGACTGAGTCCTAGCTCTGGATGATTTTTGTGTCCAGCAAGAACAAGGCATATGGTCCTGTTCCTTCCATCTGCAGAGGGGCTGTGGTGGGCAGCCTTAGTCCAAGCCTGTGTGACCTACACAGTTGCTGCCTGGAAAGGTCCTCTTCTCCTCTTCCTCCTTCCCACTGGCATCCCACTCTTTATCCCTGCTCAGTGTGTTTTATTGTCCCGTGTCCCTCAAGTTGGCCATGTCTTCCCTCCTGTCCCCTGCTCTGTCTTTGAGGTTCGGATTAACTTCTGCTGTTCTGGAACTGCCTTCCTTGATCATCTGGAGCAGATCAGCACAGTGGTCCTGATATGATGACCCCCTCTTGCTCACCCTAGTCTTGTCATCTTTTGGTTTATGTGCTTCTTTGGGGACCAGGCATTCCTTTCCATATACAGTGAACCACGGTGCTTAACCTCCCAGAGCCTGGCAGAGTGCTGGCATAAATAGGTCATCAGAGAGACACCTTGGGAGCACAGGGTTGATTCCCACACTGCCACATCCCCCCTGAAGCTGCTAGTCTCAGCCTCTCCTGCTCATGTCTGCTCCCTGTCAAACATCACTCTGCCTTGTTCTCCTGGCCAGGGACATCCGGAAAGACTCTCTGCTCTGAGAACGGCACGGATTTCCTTGTCCATGTCTTTGCAACCAGTGTGCCCCATCTGTAAACAAGAGTGCATCATGGGTCAACAGCTGAGTAGACCATTGAGCAACCAAATAAGGAAGGGCTTGATGTGGGTGGACACTACACGGGGACCCTGTGTATCCACACTTCTATGTGATCATGGCACACACATAAACAAAGTTAATTCACTTGATAAGCCAGCATACTGAGGACTAAAGAAGGCTTAGCTAGACCTCTGAAAATAGAGCCAGGAAATGAGCGATCTGTGTCTGACACAGACGTTTGTGCTCCATGGCTTGCCATTTCTTGGAAGTGTTTTGAGGATCAGAAGATGAATCTGGACATCTGTTTCAGAAGTCAGCACTAATTGTCCACATTCAAATGTGTCACATCTTGTTTGAGGTGAACTCAAATGTTCCATTCTCCCCTTCCCATTTTAATGCTCTTTTACAATTTAGTCTGGAAACAACTGTGTTCCTGGGAGAGGATGGCAATCCAAATGTCTCCAAGCCAAGAGAATCTGGAGAGAGAAGTAGGGAGGAACAATTGATTTATTCATCCAAGAAGGTGTGAGAGGCAAGATTTCAGCCTTCCACAAGCTTTGAACATTGATGGTTTGACTGTGAAATGCCCCCCACCCCCCACCCCCCCGCCACTGCCTGCAGGCTCATGTGTTTTAACACTTGGTTACCAGGTGGTGGCGCTATTTTAAGAGGTTGCTGAACCTTCAGGACTATGGACTAGAAGCAGAAGTGGGTCCTTATAGGTGGACCTTGACACTGGTCCAAACTCACAGTTTCCT